ATCATTGCCATTCGCACACTGCCACGGATGATCTGGGTCTGCTTCTTTAAAAGCCGAACAATCAAGCTTCATCTTTGATGCTTTTTTGAATCTTTCCCTATCCCCCCTCTCTGAGGGAGGAATTTCTCTGAGTCCACCACACCCCAGACGTTCACACAGAAGCCTGGCTTCTTTTTCACCTTTTTAAGAGAGGAATAATTTATTGTTTGTTCATCAAAAACATCGCAAAACATAAAAAAAAATGATAGAACTTATTACAAATCAAATTGAGAGAGAGCAATGTTGACAATATTTAAACAGCTTTGCCCTTTGACACATATAAAATTAACAAAAAGAGAAGACATACCAATGTTGTTGTTACAAAAGTAACCCTGAGTTATGCCATCAACAGAGTACTGGACAGCTCCAGCACATTTGGGTCCATCCAGGCTTAATGTGATATCACCTTGAAGAGCACACTCAATTATCAGCCAAATATAAACACAGATAAAAAACAAACAAAAAACCAAAACAAACAAAGAAACACCACAATTGATTTCCCTTAACAACTTTTAGCTAAGAGTCATTGTCACTGAGCTCACCAAAAATAAATAAATAAATAAAAAAACAGAGAAAAATTTGAAAAACTTACTTGAACAGTTAATTTTTTTCACTGTGACCCTTGAGTAATCGCTGTAGTTCCAACCAGGATGTTTACATTCCCACAGAGCGCTCTCGTGTCCTTCACACTTCAGTTCATTGAGCCAGATCGGTCTGTCTTCAGAAGGCTTAAGAGTATCTATTACTGAGCTCTCCACAGGTTCCCCACAGTGAGTGCTCTTACAAACCACTTTTTCAGTGTTCTTGCTCCAGAGTGTATCCCCAACAAAGCCCCATGTGTTGTTATGGTAGACTTCAAGGTAGCCTTCACATCGGTAGCCTCCTTTGTTTTGTCTTTGTCCTTTGTTTCTTTGTTTTAGAATCAGTTTGTCCTCAGCTAGGAACATACAAGGTTTATACAGCAAATTATTATTATTGTTATTATGATTTGTTTCATGGCTGACTTACTTTTGGGAACTGCAAAGTAAATATTTAAAGTTGTAAATGTAAAATTTCTTTTGTTTATCTGTTTTTTATTTGAATATCGCTAAAACCCTTTTTTTTTTACAAATCTTTTTAATCCCTTCATGTCTTTCTTTAGGATAATATCATCATTCCTCAGCAGATTTATACAAAAACAACAATGAAAAACCACAGTGGTTTATATTTTTTTAACATATGGGGTGTCTATTGTAAATGGCATAGATTAAGAGGAAGGGTATTGTACACCCATGACAGGTTACCAGTCTGTCACAGGGCTAACACATGGAGACAGAACACCACTGATGCTCACACTCACCATCATCATTAAGAATTACCAATTAAACTAACCCCTTAGTACCCATGCAGATACGAGGAGAACAGGCAAACTACACACAGGAAGGCCCCAGGCTGGATTTGAATCACTTTCTCACTGTGAAGTGACAGTACTAACCACTGGACCACCGTGATTTCCAGCGAGGGCTAAATTTGCTAATGGGCCAAAATAGCATGCGAGTACAATTCGGAGGTATGCTGATGGGTGTGGTTAGTTTTATGGATAATTTACAAATATTGCACTGTTTTAAACACAGGTGCAATCAGTTCATTTCAGTATCAAGGACAAAATCAGCCTGTGTTCTTAATTTCAATATTGTCTTGACTATATTTTGCACTTGCATCTGCAGAATCAGTCACAAAAATCTCGGACTTCCCTCCTCTGACACGCGCCTCTTGTCACTGAGCTCTTTGTAAATACTGTACTTTTCTTGACTTTTTTTGACAGAAAAACCCAGTTTGCGCTTGAAAAGTCTTGATTTAAAACAAAACCACAACAGAAATCTGGATATACACTTGAATTGAACTGTTACATTTCTTCCACACCTTGACTTAAAAAAAAAAAGCTGCTATTTAAATGAAACAATTTTACATATAGTTTTTAAATAAAATGAGAGAAGAAGAGTCATAGGTGCCTGGTGTGATTGTGAGTGCAAATGGTTCTCTGTCTCTATATGTTTGCCTTGTGACAGAGTGGCGGCAACCTGCACAGGGGGTACCCTGCCTCTCGCCCTAAAACTGCTGGGATAGGCTCCAGCTCCCCCTGCGACCCTGACCCGAGAGAATGGATGGATTTTAAAATATAAATAATATTTAATTTCATTACAAGGATTTCTTCCTAAGTTGAATTTTATACAAAAGTACTGCATTGATTGTTTTGGGGGGTTTTTTGGTTCAAATTCAGGATCACATCTGGACTCAGTTCTAACGCATTCACACACACGCTCATATAGAGAAATTCAAATTAATACCAACAATTAATAATATTACTACGGTTCAGAATGAAATAAAGTGAATTAACTTGCCTTGTGAGATCACCAGCTCAATGTGAGCAAGGCGGAGAAGCAGGAGGAGGAACCACATCGTCACCAAAGCTCATGACTTGAGAGTGAGACAGACAAATGATGCGCTCGGCTTTATATTGCCATGGCTTCGCCCACCAAAAATGGAAATGAGCAGCATACGCGCCAAAGCTAGACTCACAAATATTAACTTAGATTGAAAGAAAACTAACACACAAGTGTCCTTACTTCATATACAGCACCTTTTTATGCTTTTCTCTTCATTAAACTAAAATTCCCCTTGATGCTGTGACACGGGCACACAACATACTGTATTAGAATGTACAATTGATCAACTGCTGATAAATTATAAATTTTAAGTTTAATAACTGATACACATGGCTGTTTTGATGTTTTTTAATTTGCTATTATTATTTTCATTTGAAATATTTCAATAAACTGATCTAGAAATGACTTTTTGACTCAGCACTCTCTATGACATAAATTTGACACCATTAAATGATATCTGCTTCAACAGAGTCATAATATTGCTTCATGCAAACAAACTTAACATAGTTTACCAAGTTCTTTAATACTGATAAATTCAGTTAATCCATAACCAGAGAAAAAAAAGATGTGTTGTTAACAAAGTCTAATGTTATAAATGCAGTTAATTTTTCTTGTGTTGCTTATGATGAATACCTTTATGCAAACGAGCACAGACAGATTACCATGTTCTTTAATACTAATACATTTACATCACAAAATCAAAATAAGGATAAGTAACAAACATAAACACAATTTTTTAATTTAAAAAAATCATCATGAACATTTTTAGCAACATTGTAATAATAGTAACACCAAAAATATCCCACATAGTTTTCTACAACTAACAGATAAAATAAGTTTTTGTCTTTGATTGTTTTCAATGATTCAACAGCAGCATGTATTTGCTGTGTATGAATGAGTATTAGGGCCAGGAGTATTAAACCCTCTACAAATACCTTGTGTAGACGAGTCAGTAAAATTGGTTTTAGTTAGTTTAGTACCTTTTCAGTACAGAAACACAGTGGGACGATAAGTATTAATCACACTGAAAATATGGTGCAGAAAGCTGCATCTGGTCAGAAGGAAAAACACACAAACTTGGAAGAGTTGGCCAGATTTGTGCAAAATGAAATAGCTGTGAATAGAAAGATGCAAGAATATTGATGCAGTAAAGAGTTTGTATTTTGTATCCCAAGATGGCTGATCAACAAGGCGTTTTTAGAGAGTGTTGCAGCCGTGCCAGTTTGTCTTGAAACGGCAACTGTAACCTCCACATTTGACTTTTTTATCACTTCAACTTTATTCTCAAAATATCTATTTTAATCCTGAAATAAACACTATTTATTTCTTCTTAACATGGTCCTAATACTCTGTCATAGCTGTGCCTGTTTTCAAAGAGCTTTATAAATAAATATAGTATGGTAAATCAATTTTAAAGAGTAACATTTTGTTTGATTTAAAATTAGTTTTTTAATCAGTGTCGTTAGCCGCAGCAGACAACTGTATAATTCCACTAGTATCGTGAAGATGAAGGTTTCAAAGCATTTGTCTTTAATGACATTACATTAAATGTCAACTTCTATCAGTAACCCTGATATCTGAGATCATTATGTCCTTAAACAAAAACACAAAGCCTTAGGGAGCAGCACACACAGCAAAACATCAGCTCACATCAGAGAAATGTCAAACTATTAATATTCTTAGAAAGGAAATATTGTTTCAGTAAGAAAGAAAGACTTAAAAACAACAACCTCCTGCTACATCTTATCAGACCGCATCTACAAGCTGTAAAATCTGTGAACAAAAAAGAAAAAAAATTATATATATATATATAAATATATATGAGAGCATGATATTTGAGTAAGGCTTTAAATAACATGAGGAATAATCAAAAATACTGCACACAACATCCATGTATTGTATTTTACAATGGTCAGGAGACAGACACTCGGAGTATGCATTTCCCAGTATATGCAGCATGTATACAGGATGTGATATATAAAATATGTATATAAACATTAACAACTAATGCATGGTAAAAACGCATCACTCTAATGGAATTATCCATCCTGACATTTTACATGTGAATGTTCCTGGACTGTGGTCACAGGTGTAAAATGAGTGTACGAGAGAGCTGCACGGCTCTGTGGCTGTCTGGCGGGAGACTTTTGGGAGCTGTGACTAACTGGAAACAACGTATTCCCAGCTGCCCTTTTGATTCTTACTGAAATTCATTTACCCAAAAAGCCCATTTTGGCAACAAAACAAACCAAGTTGCTAAAAGGCCTGCAAGAGTTTTCTAGCAAGACATAAATTCTGGTTAAAGTGTCTCAGAGTCTCAAACTATCGAGGGAAGACACTTCAGGGTGCATTTGTTTTTTTGTTACATACTTTATACGTCTTTATACTGTAGATATCATGAATGAATTATTAGCAGAATGTGCTTATATTATAAAAATGACAGCCAGGCCTGAGTTCTCCTGTAGACCCTCCAAAAATTAAAAAAATAAAAATAAAACAAAATCTACACATAAATCATGGTAATGAAAGTGTGATAATAAGGCCTTCCCTCGCCGACTGATTTATCGCTATCACTTTGTGACAGAGGTAGTGATGATGCCATAATAACGACATTAAGATTATTTTTGCCTTTTTCCCGGTCCCGTTATTTCTCCCCTCCTTGATGTGCAGAGAGTACAGAACACAGAGAGGCACACTTTACACACACTCTCATCAGGGTCTCTCCCTATTGTTATAAGAGACATAGATATAAATGTTAATATATATAATATAACCTATAAAAATATATATTTATAAACTACTGTCCAAAAGTCTTAAACCGCCTTTCATTTCTCTATATTTTTTCTAGTAGCTACATTAACTAGATGGAAAGATGCACACATGTTTGAATTATTCATAGTGTGAAGTATTTTAACAAACGTACATATAATATGTATAATATATAGAAATTAACATACAGTATAATATTTAAATATGATTTAAAATAAAAAATATTTAAAAAATATTGTAATATGGTTTAATATATTAATAAAATATAGACTTATTTAAGAGAAATTTAGTGTGTACTTAACCACATTTTTAAATCAGGTGTTGAGACAACTTTAAAAAAATGTTTTTTCAACATTTTCTCTCATTTATGAATAAATTTCATTCTTAATTTGACTCCTTTTTAAAAGTATATATAATATAAAATAATTATTATATATTTGTATATTTACATAATAAAAACTGTAAACCTATATTTGTATGTTTATTTTATGTAAAAAATATTCTTTGCTTGACATGTTTTTGTGTGTGTGTGTGTCTCAAAGCAAAGAATCAATGTCAAGGTTCAAAGTTGCTTATCATAACTCATTGTAAATTATTCACTTCTATCAGGCTCACTAAAATACAACCACACTGGAAAAACATCAAATTAATCTAATGAAACTCTCAAAATAAATACAATAATGTTTAACTATCACATGACATCAGTTGACATTTTTTTCAAATACGCATAACCCTGAAAAAAAAGAATTGTTTTTTTAATAGTTGTTATGGAAATCTGTTTGATTTCCTCTCGAGTACGGCACAACATTCTGAGTATTTGATGTCACATCGAAGCGTATGACTCACACAGGGGTGTCTTGACCACATTTATCAGTGGGCTGATCAGAAATGAGGCATAACTGACACAACCATCAGCTCAGGGTAGGAGATAGCTTAGCAGAAATAAAGCCACAAACATCTGGGTTGTATTTTTGAAACCAGATCGTTTATCTAGGCAGGAAACTGTGATCGTTCACATGCTCTGCTTCAGACATATTCTCAGGAAACATGAAAGTATCAGCTTCTAACTGAGTTTTAAGTGTTTATTTGATGAAAAAATAGACTCACGTAGGGCTTATATTTGTTTTAAATATTTAAACAGCAAAGTCATGGTATTTTTCCCATTTGAATCAAACTGAACACTAAATTAAAGGGCACACCAACCAGCAAACAATACTCTCAGGGTGCACAACCCCTCCTTGTTGCCCCCATAAGACAGTGTGAAAATACACATGAAACAATAACAAAATACAAGAAACTAATAAAATGAGTGCTTTCTTAACATAAATTAAGAAATCATGTGCAAGAACAACATACATGAAACAATGTTTTGAAAATATATTTTAAATTTCGGTAGCCACACCCAGGTCTGATTAAAGTGACAACTGTCGAATCAGGGGATCACTTAAATAAAACCTGTCTGACAATGTGAAGTAAGATCTCAAAAAGCAACAGTCATGCCACAATTTCACTGACAGCTATCTGTCTTGTTAGAGCCATTTCTAAGGCTCTATCACTCACCAAACCAGGGTGATACCCATTAACCATTATGAGGTAAACTTAAAACAGAGGTAAGCCTTTACAGGAGTGGCTGGCCCACCAAAATGACTCCAAGAGCACATCAATGACTCGTCCAGGTCACAAAAGAACCCAGTGCAACATCAAATGCACTGGCTCATGCAGCAGGGCAATGATCCAAAACAGCAAGTAAAAAGATAAGTAAATAAATACTGTAAAAGTTTTGAAGCAGCCTGATCAAAGTCCAGACTCACATCAGACTGATTTGCTTTGGCGTGACCAAACAGGTCGTTTGCGTGATGAAAAACCATTCAGTGTGGTTGGCTTCAACAGTTCTGAAATGATCATTTCAAAATGGTATTTTATATTTACTCTGGTTATTTTTGTCTCATTTCTAACATTCGTTTAATGATCTGAAACATGTAATTGTGACAAATGTGTAAAAATCATTTAATTCTGAGTACATTCATTTACTGACACTTGTGACAAATTTTCTCAGTAGTATCTATCAGCATCTAATAACAATTATTTATGAACGTAACAAATGAATGCCCTACACTCAGGACAGACAACTGATTAATAAAGTTTTTTTGTTTGCTTCTATGAAGGGATTGCTAACAACTCTGATGGTAGGTGATCTTTCAAAAACAGCAATACAGCACTGATAGCCTTTAGCTACATGGAAAAAAAAACAGTGTCAATATATTAAAGCAGATGCAACGACAAGAAAATTTCCTATGTGTGTATCACAAAAGATGA